CCGCAAAAGCACTTTTTGCGGAAAAGCGTCCGTGCCAATCTAGACGCAGTTTTGCGCAAGAAAGCCCCGATCGCCATTTTCGCCATCAGTACTCTTTTGCGCAAAACAGTTTTTAGCTGTCTACGCTGGCCCTCTTGCGCAAAAACATTTCCAGAAAAGGGCTTTTGCCCGAATGGGAATGTCAAAGCATTTGCGCAAGAAGCACTGATTTCAGACAGTAGAACGTCAGTGCTTTTATGCAAAATCAAGCGGCCAGTGTAGACAGCTGGCAAGTTTTTGTGCAAAAGTGGCTGCTTTTGCGGAAAAACTTGCCAGTTTAGACGCAGCCACAGACTTTGACCAAGTCTGTTAATAATTTGTTGGAGAAAGCTCTCAATTCCATGATCCAACTGAACAGAGGTGACTACAGATTATTCACTCTTGAGCACTGCTAAATCATCCTTTGCCAGAGATGACTCCTTAGTGACACTCACAAATACTTCCCAAGAGTTTTGTATTGCATTGAATGCACCAGTGCATACTATCTGTCCTTCCTATGGGCTCAAGCTGAGCCAAAATACAAGGCTATGCCACCCTCCCGGGGGCCTTTTGGAGGCTGAAATAGGTGTAGCTGTTGTCACATCACGGCAGCGAGGTGGGCAAAGGCACTGTGGAGACCACAGCTACAGGCTTCATCATTCCCAAGCCAGCAACAGGGTTAGTTCTAGGCATATTAAATTTTGTTCAATCAGCTAATCAACTAGTCAATGAAATTTCCATCAACTGCTTGATTAGTTGATAAGAGGGGGAACAGTAGAGCCACAGCAGGGTTAGGTCCCACCCTGCCAGCTAACCCTGCTGTGGTTCTGCCTTTTAAATGTAGTAACAACTGGCTGACTCTTAATACATTTAAAAGGCAGAGACTAGCTAGGACAGCTGATTCCCTGCTCATGTTGGTCCCCAGCCTTGCCTCTGCCCATCCTTCCCTCCCCAACAGTGCTGGGGAAAACAAGCTTTTAAGCCGCTTCCTGCTCCCCCCTTTGCTGCATTTAGACGACTAGTCACTCCACTGTCCCATAAGAATATATTCATCAGGAAGTCAACTACTGGACTAGCTGCTTACAGCCTTAGTTCCCAAAAGGATGGGGCCCCACCCACGCGGCTCTTGGCTCTTACAACAAACAAGCACCCCAAATTAACCTTTAATTCAAAAGCCAAGGAAAATAAGTCACGAAAACGGACAGGAATACTGGCACCGCCGACGCGCCCGCTAGCACCAGCCCCTCAGGGCGATGGCGACGACTGTTCAGAACCACCATCACGCTTCCATTTATAGCTCCTCCCCCGGCCGCCTCGTTGCTACTTCCTGTTGGCGTCACTTCCGGACCAGTCCAAGATGGCAGCGGGGGTAGGAGGTGGCGATCCGTTGCTGCGGTTGAGACGCCACTTGAGGGAGGAGGTAGAGCCCCAGGCGCTGCTGCTACAGCCTCCCCTTGGGGGCGGGGGACCGGCGGGTAGGTGCTTTTTAGAGCTTGGTCACCCCCGCGCCTTAAGACGGGGACGGTGCGTGACCGCGGGCGGGGGCGATAAGGGAGAAGAGGGCGGGTCCCTAGTGCCAGGTGAGCCGGGGCAGCGGTGTCCTCGGGCAGAGGGAGGCTCCCGTCTGGAATCCGGTACGTGGGGGAAGAGGCTGGGGCCGACCGATCACGGCCCTTGCTTCACGCCTGCCGGGCTCCCCTGCAGCAGCGGCCGTGCCGCGCAGACGGAGCCAGAGGAGACAGGCTGGGACAGGAGAAGGGGCCTCAGGGCTGGGGTGTGGGGCTGGGAGCCGGTCGCGCTGCGGCTGCTGGTGGCTCGGGGAGATTGCACCGGTTTCGGGAGCGTTACCCCGGGGCAGCAACTTCAGGTCTATCTGCTCTGCACTTGAAAGTGTAAGCAGCCTGTAAGCGTGCGGGTCAGAGGCTTTTGGTTGAAATAACTAACACCAGTAAACCTCCTGCTGGAGCCACTGAGGCCATTCTAAATTGTGTCTCGTGCCACTGTAGGTATTACTCTTCCCATAAGCTAGTGGGTTGCAGCATACCTTACCCTGCTATAACTATAGCCACGGTAGGGGGCTTCTTTGTGGGTACCTCGCAGTACACTTTTTCATGTGGACATCTCTCTGTGTGAGTTCCAATAGTTGTCCCAGGCTTTTAGTCTCAGCGGGTTATCTGTGTTGGTCTGTAACTTTAAAAACAATGAGCAGTCCTTTGGTGCCTTATTCATATATTTGGTCATAAGCTTTTGTGGGTAAAATGGATGAAGTGGGTTTTACCCAGAAAAGTTCATGACCTGTCTGTCAGGATATTCTCTGCTTCTCTCTCCCCATCAGCTAATGGGAGCTTATCAGTACTTAAAGTTCTCCTTAAATTTTAGGTGTGTCAAATATCAGGTTGTAATTTACTAATTCTGAAGCATTTAACATTTGTAATGGGAGGAGGGAGAGTGGTGTGAAGGAGACTAGTAAAACAAGGGGAGGGTAGGAAAAGGTCTCACTCTTGCTTGGAAAGGATCTGAGGAATACAAGAATCTGGTCATAAAGGCTTGGGAACTTTGACCAAAGGTGGTTGAGACAAAGGAAGGTTCCACAGTGGTAAAATGTACCATGCAAATGATCATGAAAATCATAAAAAATACAAAGTGAAATAACATATATTAGTATGGCAAGGGTGTTACTGAATATTTAGTACTAAGGTACAGAGGCAGTTATAAATAAAATGTGGCACGTTCAAATATGCAAGTATTTCCACTGGTATTCCCATCAATTTAAGTTAGTTTACTTTATTCTAACAGTAAATCTATTTTGTGTGAAGAGAAGGTCTTCAGCACTACACATAAGAACATAAGCCTTTGCCTTCAAAATAGCATGCTCCTTTGCCCTCACACTGATTCTGTCTGTTAGAAAATTTGAAAAGCACTCAGATTTTACAATGAAAATTGTGTTTAAAGAAAGTCTAGATTTCCCTCTAATAGCTTTTAAAAAGTACAGGTAATATCCTCTGCATATTCAAGGTAGCACCTGAAATTGAACACTTGGCCTGTGACATGGGAAGGAGGATGATCTATGGGAAATTCAGCTTTCAAACATCCAAGTTAATGACATGGATGCAAAAAAATTAGAATGAGGAATGTTGGTCTTACCTTTCCATAGGTGTTTTTCATATCAAACAAATATATTTTTTCATTGTAATAGAGAATTCTTAAGTGGTTAAATAACCTTTTCAGCAATGTAAACAGCTGTTAATCCTTATAATTCATTCTTCTTTGGAGATTAAATGTATTCACTATAAATTTTTTAAAATTATTTCAAGAAATGTGTAGAACCATTTCGAAAGACAAACTAAGCAAGGTGCCTTTTGATTTGGAAAAAAAACCAAACAAAACCCATACAATGAGAGCATATGCTCTCATTGTATTTTTCCGGAAAGATTAAGTGTACTGTTTTATTTTAATAAAATGATACTCCATTTAGTGGTGTTTATAACACAGTAATCATGGCTTTATTTACAGAAGAATCTACAAATGAGGAGAAAAAAGAGAAGCCTCTTCCCAGACTTAATGTTCACTCTGCATTCTGGATTTTGTCATCAATTGCTGTGACATACTACGTTGAATTTTTTAAAACTGTTAAAGAGACCATTCAGACAGATAGGTAAGGGATCTTCATTAAAAAACTGTGTATGTCTTCAACATCATACGCAAAATATGGTCTATTTAAATGTTGCATAATTACTGTAGATTTCACCTTTGTGGTTAATGAAAAATTGTTTCCATACACCTTAAAAGGTTCTTTTTGCACAATAATGCAAGACACAGCAATGTAATCATAGTATGCTATTTTGCTGTAATGCATGGTAACAGAATTTAGAACTTGACCTGTGTTTTGGTTCTTTATTGGGTAGTATGTTGGCTATATTTTGGGAAGGTCAGGTCACGTCACGTTATGTCTGTCTTATGGCTCTGTAGAAACTCTTCTGCTTGTTTTTGGAAAATGGATTGAGATTGAAAGAAGTGAACACCTCTAATTAAGGATAGTTTGCTGCATCCTTGAGTGTGAGGGAATGGGAATTGGAATATAAAAATGTGGGCATAAAACCTGATTGGAATCTATATCTTAAAAGAATAAAAGGTAATATTTATTTTCATGGTTATTTGTTCTATAGAATTACTTTACAGTTTAGTATATTGCGGAGGGTTAAATTGAAACTATCTCAAAACCTATGGATCAAATTGAAGATTGGGTGTCTTAAAGTAACTTTATAATTCCTCAGTCTTGTAAATACTTGCATATGCTTAAATTTTTACTACTATGAATAATCCATTGCTACTATGGCTAGACCCACTGAAATCAAAGTACATATTTGCAAGGAGTGGTGTCTGAGACTACACTCTTATCAATAGAAGTACCATCTGCACTGTTGAATTGGAATAAAGATTTGCAGAGCTCTGCGTGAATATAAAATTGTATTTGCATCTGATTCACAAACATGGTATCCGGAAGCATCAGATAATGCTTCCACAGTTATAAAATGGATATGTGCAGAACTCTAAAGACTTGAGTTGGTTTGAACTTGAGTTAACACAAGTCGTGAACTAATCCTGTTGATTAATTTTGAGATACTGAAAGAAATCTAAAATTCTTAACCAATCCACATAATATTTATCTGTAAAATCCATATTTTGCACATATAGCAGATGGTCATAATTAACTTGTGAATAAAGTTTCCTGTCTGTCTGTCTTACTAGGTTATCAGTTTTGAATATAGCTGATGTTTTCTGGGTTTATAAGCATTGCTGTCATGGAAAGGAGAAGGTGGCAGTCTGTTTTTGTTTTTAAGGAAAAAAAAAAAAAAAAAAAGCTTTTTACGGTGGTATAATCTTGTGCCAAAGGTTATTCTACAAACAGTTTTATGTTTCAGGCACCCAGATAATCATTGGGTGGCTTTGGCTTACCTTCTTTACTAAAATATCTCACATGCAAACATACTTTAAATAAAGATACTAGTTTCTTATTAAATTAGTTTTAAAGAAATGCAGCCCCTGAGGGATTTTGGGTAATCCTCACTTTTATTATTACTTCCTCATATTAACCGATTTAAAATATATATGACAGAAGTTTGTAGAGCAGCAAAGTACCATTATGGTACTATAAAAAGATAACAGAACTTAAGAGCAACTTGTTTTCTGGTGTGTGTGTGTGTGTGTGTGTGTGTGTGTGTGTGTGTGTATTTTTCTTTAAATTTAACAATTGTTTAGGATCAGTCAATAACTTTTTTCCTAAATATAGTAGAAAGTTAACATTTTTGCATTGTTTCAGTTGGGTTGGTGCATGATGACCATTTTTGAAAATATGTTCCCAGATGTGGCCAAAAGTCCAATTCTGTGCTGAGCTGTTCTCAGTTCCCAGTGATTTTGAGAGAGTAAAATAAGGTCCTATGCATCACCTTGTCTATTGTGCACAAGAGCTTTGCTACGGTATTTGAGAGCCAGTGATCTCTTGAATGAAGACAGTTGCTTTGCTGTGTGGTGTGGCTTAGTACATTTTACTGTGGTAATCTAAATGGGATTCATTTGTTAAGTTGAGCATATTTGAACTCTATCTGGACATATTTCACCAGAAAATAATTTAAATTATTTTTTTTTCTAGAGATAAGAAATCATGACCTATATTAGTCCATAGTTTAACTTTCTTTCTAAGACCTATACCGTTGATTATCCACTTATCCCTGGATTTTGAAAAGTGTTTCGGTACAGTTTTAGTATATTAAACTATTTGACTCTATTAGAATCCTATAATGAGTTTGTAGATGTGAAAAAGATTATTATAGCTTGAACCTTCTTGGTCCAGCACCTTTGGGACCAATCAGGACCTAAAGGAGAGAACTTGCCAGACCAGGTGAGGTCCCCTGCCACCAGCCTCCATGCCCTTGCCTGCTGCCGGCTAGTACCACCTCAGCAGGTACCGTGGCCCCTCCTGCCCCCAGCCCTCCTGCTAGCCTAGCCCGGCTGCCTTTACCCAGCTACTGCTGGCTCTCTAGCTGGCTGGGTTGTTGTGTGGCCCCAGCCTTGCTTGTAAGGGGCTGTCGCGAGGCTGTCACCCTTCCTGCTTCTGACCCCAGCTGGCCCTCCTGCGCTCTCTGGTCCAGGAGCATGTTGCTGGACCAGAGTGTCATTTTTTTGGAGATGGAATCTATAGAACACTTAACTTTGTCTGAGAATGATCTGAGAAATTACTAGAGTTCAGCAACTGAAAAGGTAATACTGTGTAACAATTTTTTTCTAAGTGTTTTAGTACAGCAGAACTAAACTTAAACTAAGCTTTAATTTAGGAAGGCTTCTGTTTGACAATGTTCGATTGAAAAGCTCAGAAATTTACTTTATAACACCTATACAATAAACAGTCATATAAAATACAAATATAGTAGTTATTATCTGCCTTGGGAAAGTGAGTAGGTCTAAACTAAATTGATAATAGTATCAATGAGGGGTTTGGTATGGTGGTATTTTGTTTTATACTGGCATAAAAATGCTTCTGGCAGTATAGTTTTTCATTCTGGCAATTTAACTTAGCTATACCAGCAAAAGCAGTACTTTTTGCTGGTATGTGTTGGATTGGTCCTTATAGCTAGATGGCTAAATCTTTTCTGGTGTGTACACCTGGCATGAGCTTAACTGTTTTGGACTCAATCTGACAAAACTCGATTGATAAATATACTGGAATAATTTGTTTACATAGCAAAGTCATTTACACTCCCAATTATTGAGATTTATTGCAAGTAACTGAATTTTGTGAATTATCATGGGGAAAGTTTTTCTTTTTGTAAGAAAAGTATCATAATATATACTTACGTTATTTCTTTGACAGATAATATGCCTATATGAAACAAAACCATGTTTTGACAGAAATGTACTTAGTAACATCAGCTTTTACTACAACACTGAAATAAGGAGCTACTGTTTTTTAGTGGTGGATAATAGTATGCTAACTGAAATGTGGTTGTATCTAATTGATGTTTTATTTCTTTGCAGTTGGTGCTTTTTTCTTGGCAGTTGTTTGTTGGTTGCAAGCTTAGCTATTGCTTTTTACTGCATAATATATTTAGAGTGGTACTGTGGAATTGAAGATTATGATGCCCAGTATCCAGTATTGATACCGATCACAACTGCCACTTTTATTGCAGCAGCGGTTTGGTAAGTTAAATTCTGTAGCTATGCAAAAGACTTTTGTGTGTGTGTGTAAACTGATTACCAATGGTAACGCCAACAGGCTTTCAAACTTAACGCTGCTAATGGACACTGATAACATGGTTACTTCTGTCCAGTAATATTACTCACATCCTGAATTAGTTCTATTTAGCATACAATCCTTATTTCAATTTTTAACATCCATGGAGACCATTGGCCAGATTCTGCCACACTTCTTCCTTTTCAGTAGTATCTTGTTCCATGGATAGTCTCTCCTGTAAATCAGATGACGTTTTATGGATGGTATGTAGTTTACTTTAAAAAAAAAAAATTAAAGGTGGTAGACCTGGCCTTGTTTCTTAAAACTTTTAAAACAAATCTCTTATATTAAAAAAAAAAAAAAAATACAGAATGCATTGTTGAGTAAACACATGCCAGGTCCAGGTAAAAAAAATCAACCACTGTTGACATTATATTTGCATTTTATTTATTTGTGTGTGTGTGTGTGTGTGTGTGTGTGTGTGTGTGTGTGTGTGTGTGTGTATAAAATAGACATACTTGCATTATTTTGGTTGCATTTCACTTGTATTGAAAAAGTGAATTCATAATTGTTGGAAAGCTTTGATTGTAGACTGGAACTGAGATCAGTAATTGTTCACATTGTATATTAAGTTCACTTCTAAGTATACTGGGTCTTCAATTTTTTCCAGATGTTAAAAAAAATAGTGAAGGGCTTGTCTATTTTTGTTAAATTTAAAGATGTTTGTTAAAAATAAAGCTGAGAAGATGAACTGCATATGACAAGACAGGACTAAGGATGTTAAATTTAGGTTACTCAACTGATTGAATAATTGATGTAATTTGCATCTGCTATTCGATTAGTCAATAAGGGCGCCTCCACCTTTGAAGTGTAGGAAGAGCCCTTCTGGCTCTCGTTACATTTCAAAGGCAGAAGCGCTGTGGGGAGCATGGCCAGTGGGGACTCAAGCAGTCCCTTGCTGGCCCCAGGCTCCCTGCTTTTGAAATGTACAAAAGCCCCGGGAGGGCTCTTGTTCATTTCAGAAGCAAAATGCTGCCAGGAGCGCAGGGCACTATGTGAGTCCCCAGCTCGCCCCAGGTGCCCCACAACACTTCTGCTTTTGAAATGTAGCAAAAGGCCTGCTCTTGCTATATTTAAAAAGCGGAAGCACTGCCAGTTTCCTTCTGCACCCCTACCGTTTCTCCCAATCGAGACAATGCTTGGGAAACCAGCTATAAGTTGGCTCCCCCCAGCACCGGATCCTGCTCCCCTCCCCCGCTGCCTCTCTCTTACAAGAGGCTGCAAGCAGGGAAGAGGAGGGGGTGCAAAGAGAGTAGTCACTTACATCTGTAGTTGGGGAGAGAACTAAATACAGGCAGTCCCCGGGTTACGTATAAGATAGGGACTGTAGGTTTGTTCTTAAGTTGAATTTGTATGTAAGTCGGAACTGGTACATATTGTAGGGGAAACTCTAGCCAAACATTTCTCCAGAGCTCAGTTTTATTCTCCCACACTTCACTTCCCTCAGTCCTTTATTCTCAAGCTGAGGTGTCTGCTGAGAAAAGCCACTCCGCATCTCCCTGGTCTGCTGAGGGGGGTGCTAGCTTCGCATCTCCCTGGTCTGCTGGGGGGAAGCAGCTAGTGCGGGGTTGCCTCACATTGGATCTCTACTTGCAAACGGGGTAAGTCGGATTCATGTAACCCGGGGACTGCCTGTACTCTGTATTTAAAAAAAAAAAAAAGAGGGAAAAAATTTTCCCAAGTACCTCAATTTGCTTTATAGCCAAACCAGTGGCCAATAGAGATAGAGCAAGCTTTATTTTCATACTTGCAAGAATGCTGTTAAAATGTGCTGAAATTTTTCTATACTCTTTATGTGGCTTTTTTTGGAAAGCTTATTTTCAATGGGTTTTTAACTTGGCTTGCACTGAAATGTTGCAGCCAGACACTTTGCTTTATAAAGTGCTAACTATTCAGTGTATGGAGGCAGCGAAAAAGTTGCAAAAACCTAAGTATGTGTATTCTTTGCTTTCTAGTTCAGTTTAAAAAAGATGAAGCTCATTTTGAATGTTCACTACTGAATACGTTTTCAGACAGTGCCAGTAGGTGATCTTATAACAAATTTACTGCAAAACTTTAGAACACAGGGATGGAAGTCAATAAATGGTCATACTTGGCTTAGAATTGTTGAACTTTCTGCTTCAGTTAAAATTTTATGCTCAGTTTGTACAAGACTGTCTTAGAGTTCTCTTGTCAGTTAATTCATGATCAGGGCTGCTTAGCTAGAAGATGTAAACATTTTTTATAACTGCCAGCCCTGCCCACTGACCACTATCCAAAAATCAAATTGCTCATCTTATTTTCTTCATAAACACAGATAGCAAAAAGCCTTAAATTAAAATTTCTTTATGCAAATGCTTTTTTTCCCATGGCTTCAATATTTGTTGAATAGGACAATAATTAATTATCTTTATATTGGGAGGTTTCTATCAAGGATTTGACACAGATGTATAACAACATGATGCCACTTTTATAGCATTATCTTTCATGCCATAACGAAATTATTTGATTGTACAAGAAGGGGAGAATTTATTACAATTAGGGCTGTTGATTGATTAACTCAAATTTGATTAAAATTGTGATTAAATGCAATTTTAATCACTTCTGTTAAGTATTGAACTTAAAATTTTAAATATTAATTTCGATTACAACAGTGTACAGTGCTTACTTTCTTTTGATTGCAGATATTGGCACTGTAAATGATAAATAGAATTACTTGTATTAAGTAAACAGAAAAATACTAACTAGTACAATCTCTCTGTCCTGAAAGTGCAACTTACAATTGTAGATAAGTCTCAGGGTAGTCATGTTGATCTGTTTCTGTAAAAGCAATAAGGAGTCCTGTGGCACTTAAAGACTAACAGATTTATTTGGACATAGTTGTTTTCAGCCACAAAAGCTTGTCAGATACATCTACAAATATAGAATTATGTACAAAATGAACTGCATTCAAAAATAAAACTTTCATGATAGATTGAACTGAAATTACAAATATTTGCACTGTAAAAATGGTAATAAAAATAATGAACACTGCATACTTTGTGTATTCTGCAATTGAAATCAGTATATTTGAAAATATTTAAATACAAGTTGAAGCTCTATATTGGTCCAGTATCTGCAGGCGCTCGGAGTGTAATTCTTCCCCTGTCCATCAAGAGCTCCTGGAGGTATTCAAGTCCTGGGAGGAAGGGGGATGAGTAGAGATTGGAGGGGACTTTTGGTTGAAGAAGGGAAAAAGCAGAGCAGCTGTAGAACCCCATGGGAATGCAACCACCTCTACCTTTCCCCCTGAACATGTGCACTGCCCTCCACCCGCTTCTTCCCATGTCCTCACTCTGCTGCCGCTGGTTGAAAGGAGTTGGCATTAGAGAGGCTAATATTGACCTTTCCTGGGCTGGTAAATCCCCTGGTTTGGGACAAGTCTGCTCCCCAGGGTGCTGGACTAGGGAGGTTCAACCTGTAAATGGCATTCTGTTGTTTCAGTTGAACAAATTGCAATTAATATTATTAACCATGATTAATTGACCACCCTAATTACAATCAGGGTGGATTGATTTAAATCAAACTTCCTGGGGGTAGCCATGTAATCACAAAAAAAATCATTGATGTAAATCAAGTTACCCAAGAAAGCAAAGACAGACTGCTTAGAGTGCACTTACTCCAAAATTAAGTCCCACTGGACTTGCTCGTACTTCTGTTTTTTGAGAAAACAAGTGTAAAATGGGGTTCCCTTGGAAAAGCTGAGTCATGCTCAAGTAAAATAGGGATTGGCATTTATGGCTCTTTCATGATCTGTGGCCATGCTGCCCCAAAATAAGGAGCATGTAGTATAAAATAAGAAAATGATACTCAGTGGCAACTTTAAATTCCTCTTACTGTGGCTTTCTGTATTGTATACTTAAGTAATAGATTCTAAGCCTACTTAACAATTTAACTGATGGTATCATGAGCTTTCGTGGGTACAACCCACTTTTCAGATGAAGTGGGTTGTACCCATGAAAATTCATGATACCATCTACATGTTTTGTTAGTCTTTAAGATGCTACTAGACTATTTAGGTTTTTTTTTCTAGTTACAGACTCAGCTACTCCTCTGAAGCTTTTAAACTAATTAAATAAGCCATAAGAATTAGCTAAGCTAAACTTTTTTTTTTTCTAGCCATGTCTAACATAGCAAACAGCCTGGAAATTTACTTGTCAAGTTATACTTGTATTAAAAGGCAGAGAGAGTCTTGAAGAATGATGCATTGCAAAATCAATTATTTAAGTTGCTTTATTCGTGCAGCGAGGCTCTGCATCATTCTCTTTTACTGCTTACACTTGAAGTTTCCTTTTTTACCCGGGGAGCACATTGTTTCAAAATATTCCAAGGTAGGGTCCTTCTTACTGGGGCCATGCCTCTTTTTCTGTGACCCAAGTAATGGGGACTACAGGAAGCACTGTGTGTATGCTGAATGCCTTCCCTTTTTTGTTTTCAGTCCACTCCGCTGCTCCTTTATGCTGTCTCCTTTCTTTCCTATATATTGTCTCTGTTTTTAAAACTGTCTTAACTAACTCCTCTGCTGTGTGGTGATGGACCTTGGCCAAGCATAAACATAGAAAATAATACTATCTAGCTTGTCTGTATTCACACATGTTACTTTTTAGTCTTCTGAGAAACAAAATGAAGGCCCAGAACTTTCAAAAAGCAAGAGGTGTTAGTTAGGCTGGACAGGCTAGCACCATTAATTCATTTTTGAGATTATAAGCGTACATGTAGCATGTTTGTGATGAGATTAAATTGTAACTCTTGTTTTTAATGAGAAATGTAGTATTGATCAAAAATTGTTTTGATTTTATTAACTAAATCTATTTTTATCCATACTGTTTACAATTCTGTATTCAAATTTTATATTTTGAGATTGGGATGTTGAGTCCTTACTGTTATTTCTGGTGCAGTATGCCAAATATGTGTAGAAGATAGTATATGACATTAGAACTACTTAAAAAAAATTAAATTTGTTTTTTATTTCCAGTTTCAACATTGCCTTATGGCCTGTGTGGTCATTTCTCACCCCTCTGTTGCTGTTCACTCAGTTTATGGGTGTTGTAATGCTTGTGTCTCTGCTGGGATAGATCACCTAAGGTAACACATTTTTAAATATCTGTGTGCATCCATAAACCTTTTGTCTGAATTACATTAATTCTTTCATTTGGCAAACCAATTGTTCTCTAATACAGATAAGAACAGCCATACTGAGTCAGACCAATGGTCCATCTAGCCCAGTGTCCTGTCCAACAGTGGACTATGCCAGATGACCCAAAAGGAGTGAACGGACCAGGGAATCGTCAAGTCTCCTGTCACCCATTCCCAGCCTCTGACAAAGGCTAAGGGAAACACCATTCATGCCTGTCCTGGCTAATAAATATTGATGGACCTAGTCTCCACAAATGTATCTAATTCTTCCTTGAACCCTGTGAAAGACCTGGTCTTGACAACCTCTTCTGGCAAGGAGTTCACACAGTGCACAGTCAGCCTTTGGAAGAAAAACTTCCTTTTGTTTTGTTTTAAAGCACTACCTATTAATTTCATTTGATGACCCCTAGTTCTGATGTTTTGGGAATAAGTAAATAACTTTTCCTTATTCACTTTTTCTACACCAGTCATGATTTTATAGACCTCTTTCATATCTCCCCCGCCCCCCCCGAGTCTCCTTTTTTTCTAAGATGAAAAGTCCCAGTCCTTTTTAATTTCTCTTCATATGGGACCTGTTCCAAACCCTTAATCATTTTTGTTGTCCTTTTCTGAACCTTTTCCAATGCCAATATATTTATTTTGGAGATGAGGTGACCACATTTGTACATAGTATTCAAGATGTGGGAGTACCATAGTTTCTTATAGAGACTATAAGATGTTTTGTCTTATTCTCTGCCCCTTTTAATGATTCCTAACATTGTTTCCTTTTTTGACTACTGCTGCACATTGAGTAGATGTTTTCAGAGAACTATCCATAATGACTCCAAGATCTGTCTTGAGTAGTTATAGCTAAATTAGTCCCCATCATATTGTATGTATACAGGCAGTCCCCGGGTTACGTACAAGATAGGGACTGTAGGTTTGTTCTTAAGTTGAATCTGTATGTAAGTCGGAACTGGCATCCAGATTCAGCCGCTGCTGAAACTGATCAGTTTCAACAGCGGCTGAATCTGGACACCAATTCTGACTTACATACAGATTCAACTTAAGAACCCCAGGTGTCCCAAGTCAGCTGCTGCTGAAACTGATCAGCAGCTGATTCCAGGAAGCCCGGGGCAGAGCAACTCTGCCTCGGGCGTCCTGT